CAGACATGCAGATTTCCTCACGATGCGATATGATTACATAAAAATAACTAACCACATCCCATCACATGTATCTATTAAATGTCGACAATCTTCCTAAGTTGACAACACGGCACTAAAGTCAATAGATGACGGTTATTTGAACAGGCTTTAGCGTCGTTTGTAAGTGGCGTGAAATTTATCATCAATCACATAAAATTGTCTCGTGAGGTGAATGATCGAATAATATAGATTTTTTTTCGAAAGGTTAGCATTTCACTTCACCTGCTTTTTATAGAACAAAGGTGATAAACTAGCACACAGTCTACTAGGTGGTAAGTGGATGCTGTGTTCCATAGACATTTATCCTTAATTAACAATCAAAATGCAGATGCGTTTTCCACCCTGAGGTCTAAGATAGAGTGCCACGTATCCAGTAAAAAAGGCCTCTGGTTCGCTACATTCACCATACGAAACACAGCGGTATTAAGCTTCTATTTTACGCAGGTATTCTGGGAGAGCGTGGGTCTTCCCCGGTCGAGCCGAACCATTTACGCTACTACCGTAATACAGAAGCAGCGTGGCTCTACTACGTATAAAGCTCTCCTCATCTAACTCATTTGCACTCACCTGCACTCGAATGCTCACTAATTTACGAGAGGAGTTAATTTAAACAAAATTTTGGATAACGAACACAGAAATAGTAATAATAAGACAATTGTCTTATTACGATTTCTGTGGTAACGAATAACAAGCAAACAGACCATTTGATGGTAAGTCGATGTGGTGGCCCAGATTTTTTTAAATCTTTTCTCGATTAAGAGTTTAAATACAGATGCGTTATCAATAAAAAGTGTCTCCGTATATCCATACGCAACACAGCGGAATTAAACTGTTATTTTACGCTGGTATTCGGTGAAAGCGTGGTCCTTTCCCGGTCGAGCCGAACAGTTCTTGCTACGTTTGTACACTGAATTCTGCTAAGGGTCGATTTTTGTATTGGTTATTTAACCAATTTAGGTATCATCGTCACCGGAATCAGTCTTTTTTATGCAGTCTTCCTTGCTATTCAAGTTGATTAGTCCTGAGTTCGATTAAGCCTCTTACTTACGAAAGTCTCTTATTTACGGAGCTCTCGCATAATATTGTATCATAGTAGTTATACATTATATGTACTTAAATTTCTATTCTATTTTATATAGTTTTAACTTTAAAAAGTTAGTACTTATTTTAAAAAGTCTAAAAGTTATTTAAAATTAGTTAATGTTATAGCCTATTACGCCCCACTGCTGGGCACAGCCCTCATCTTAATTTTGTGATAACATCTTAGGGCAAGGTATGTCTTTGAACTTTTTTTCTTATTTCTCAGACACGCGTGAAATTTAGCGCAAGCGGTAACCATCTGAGCTACCTCTTTGGCTCTTTAAAAAAGTCTAAAATATTAAGAAATAAAATGTAAGGATAACAGTTAAAATGAACGAAAGTTAATGTGAAAGGTGACGGAAGAATGAAGTACTCAAAAGGGTGTGTAAGCGAGATAGCTTGTTACATCTTTTATATATACATAGAAATAAACATTAATATTTATTTGATATTAATAAGATAATAATGATAACTTCGACTGCGCCTAAAGGCTACGTACTCATTTTTATATTCGTATCTCTATTTTTTTTGTTGATCTTTTAGTACGACAAGCACCATCATAACAGTATCTGAATATTAATGATTCGCTTATTCGTGTTCAACTTTAAGTTATTCATAATCTCTCTTAGAATTCAGTCAGTAATAATGCTATTACTTATGATTTATGAATAACTAAAGATTTTTCCCTTGTGAAAATGGTAAACAAAATAACCTTGTATCGGAATATTTTTTATCCATCAATTGTATTAAATCTTATAGAGTGTTCGGTGTTTATGTAAAAAAGCGACGAAACCTAAAATAAAATAAAAAAGTTTGTCTCCATCATACTTCTTCTAGTTATAGACTGAGAACTCGCCAATATTTCACCGATTTCTTTGGTAAATCCCTTATTGTTTAAGCTACACTATACTCACTATCTGAAAACATAAGAAAAGCACATATTAAGACAGTCTTAAAAAAGACTGGTAGGTAAACGTCTTTTACTAACATCAGTCGGTGGATAATGCTATTGTTTTGTCTCTATATATACTTATTGTTAATGTGTTCTTAATTTTATTGCTAATGTTTTTTTTTGTCATTTTGCGCCTACCATTATACTGCATTACGCCCGGGATTGATTGGGAGAGAAGAAATGGCATTAAATCTTTAAACATTAATCTTTCAAAAAACGAGCTTACACCTTTATAAAAGGCCGGCAACGCACCTGCAATTCTCCTGGTGTTGCAGTTGTTCGTTGTAGATGGTCGACACCATAGGTCGACCACTTATCATAGAGACGCATGTTAAATCGCCCACTCTTCTATAAAAAATATTTTAAACACGTACATAAGAATTATTAAATTGATTGAATGAGTGAATCGAATTAACTATAAATAATTTTGTTCCGGGTGTATTTACCTACTTAATATTAAATTTGGTTGCATAACGAACTCCATGCTGAAACTGGAACAGAAGTGTAACGGAAGTAACTATATTAATTTGCAATTTACTGCGTCAGTAAACCTTCGACAGTATTTTTATTAATTAAAAGTAGAAATGGATTTAAATTAGGTCTATCAATTCAATCAATTTCAATTTTTCACTTACACTTTTAACAAGTACTTGTGCTAGTTAACAACCGATTAATGGAATGGGAACTGTAAAAATGTTTGAATGATTTTCATTTATAAGTGTATATTTGCAACACCACATGAGAAGTAGAAAGTGAACTTTTAATTTTGATGGAACTTTCTTGCCTAGTAGCCCGTTTATATTGGTACTATCCGTTTATATTGGTACTATCCGTTTATATTGGTACTATCCGCATAAAGTTATTCTATTTTACGATGAAGGTTTTACTTTGGTTGTTGTTAGCCGTACACGTACATATTGTGTTAGTGTGCGTAAGCCTCGGGAACGCTCAGTCATGATCGCGAGTCGAACGAATCGCAGTTAGGCCATAGAGGAGTTAGGCTTAGCACGCACTGCGATTAAACGCGAGTGGTTTAGGAATAGCTGAAAATGCAAAACCGCATACCGTCACGCACTGCGGCTGGAGTTTTGCTTAATTTTATTTAGTACCGCCATGGATTTAGGGCGAGTAGCATGTGTCGTGGCTTTGGTTTTTAAATTAAAAAATTGAAAACGTAACCAACGGCGCTGTTATAAGTACTGGGTACATCCACTAACAGATCAATGACGTCTGAAAGGATACTTTTGCAAAATGTTCAACGACGTGCGACAGCATCCCGATAAGTTTCTTAATTATTTCAGAATGTCGATTGGTACTTTTGATAACCTATTATAAGCTGTAGGCCAGTATCTACAACATGAAGACACTGCGTTTCGTATGACGATATCGAGACTGAATGAAAAACCGATCGCGGTTAACCGCTGTGCGTGCGCCGCCATACTGTTACTATGTGATACATAAAAGTCGCACGTTTACAAACCCCGATCGAAATGTAGCAAGTTAAGTTTTGAAAATTAGTGACTGAAAGAAGTCATTACATCATACAGTTACATTTTTTTGCGGTTTCTGATGCGCGGTTAAACGCGTGCGTTTAATCGCGGTGCGTGCTAAGCCTTACACACAAAACGCAATCAAGGCGAAACTTTCATCTTGAAATAGAATAATTATACCTTTTCTACCGGCAAGCAGCTGAGCACCCCGTGAGATGTTTCGGGTTGTAGAGTGAGAGTGCAAGTCTTGTGCTATGAGACATTTCATGTTAGTCCTCAGAGGAGACAACGCTTCGGTAGCCATTTTGTTTGAAGTTGTTTGCAGGTGTCCAAGCACTGCAGTAGCCACTTACCATCAGGACTTAAAGTTCCTTTCTCTCTTCAGTTTGATTTAAAAAAATAGGTATAAATCAATGGACAAAAAGCGAATAAAAAAGTGTTTATGTCACAGGTTTATGACAAAACCTGGTTTTGGATGTAAAATCTAGGCTTTTGATCAAGAACCCGGAGACGATGAAATTACTAGGTATTTGCTGTTGTCATAAACCTAAGAAAATTCAGTTTTTTTGGTGAAAAACCTAGACTGATTTAGTTTTATGATAAAATCAACGTCGGTTGCTGTTTCTTTGAGTAAATAAACAATTAGATAACCTTTTTTTTTCGTGGGGAAATCCTCATGGATTTAACGTAGCTCAACCTAACCTAAGCTTAATTACTATCATAAAGCCTAAACAAGTTCAGTTATTTGATCAAAAACCTGATTTTTACCACAAACCTGCGACATACATAATATTCTAATTACTTGAAGGGGGAATTTAATTTGGTTTCGCTATCGTCGAAGAAATAATTTATGGGAGCGCCAACAAGATCCGGCGAACACTAGTGATGTACTCGAATGCGGATTTATTTGCTTAATAGATTTTCTTTAAAAAGTTTTGAAATAGTGATTTCTTATATTTACGCGAACACTATACATATAAAACTACTTTTACGGATATTATCGCGTTAATTTATTTTATTTTTAATATCACGGTTAATATTAAGGTCATGAGGGACGGAGACTGACGTCCCGATGTCAAAGTTAACCCGGAATACCTTCAGCTTTTTAATTATTGTCCTTTGTCCGATATACGCAGAAACGAAACGTCGGGTATTAAAAATAAAATAAATAAACGCGATAAAATCCGTAAAAGAAGTTTTGAAATATATTAATATTTTTATTATTATAGGATACTATGACATTTAGACACGTCTCTTTACATAATATCATTAACGACTATGAACTTTTAAAAAAATTGAAAGGATATGCTTTAATCTTTTGACAGATGCCAAGCGTGGCGACCTGGATTGTGTTGCTTTCTGTCACCGGCTTGGTTTTTTACGTCTGGTGAAAACTAGTTGGTAATGCTGCTATCTAACAATGATCGCCTCCTACTAAATCAATTGGGAGAAATTCTGTACACATGTTTGCTGATGAAACAAGGACATAGTTTCTCGTTGTGACTGATGACTGATGAGTCACACGAAGAACACGTCAGTTGGTCGTCCGCACTTCTCTTTAACATGATTGGACAGTTTCTGTTCGAGCTCTTATCAACATTATGAATGTGCTTTAAAATGATTGGACAGTTTCTGTTCGAGCTCTTATCAACATTATGAATGTGCTTTAACATGATTGGACAGTTTCTGTTCGAGCTCTTATCAACATTATGAATGTGCTTTAACATGATTGGACAGTTTCTGTTCGAGCTCTTATCAACATTATGAATGTGCTTTAACATGATTGGACAGTTTCTGTTCGAGCTCTTATCAACATTATGAATGTGCTTTAACATGATTGGACAGTTTCTGTTCGAGCTCTTATCAACATTATGAATGTGCTTTAACATGATTGGACAGTTTCTGTTCGAGCTCTTATCAACATTATGAATGTGCTTTAACATGATTGGACAGTTTCTGTTCGAGCTCTTATCAACATTATGAATGTGCTTTAACATGATTGGACAGTTTCTGTTCGAGCTCTTATCAACATTATGAATGTGCTTTTTTTGTGTTGTTTTATTAAATAACACGTTCCAGCTGCCTAAAGACTTTCAATTTTCATATTTTTTTTGTAAAACTGATATGACATATGTAAATAAAAATTAACTTCAAAAATTCTATATTTATACCAATATTATTTCATACCAGCTTTGTACCTGCTTCATGCCAAAATACAACAGTGCAACTACCCAGGCGAACTCCTAGACAGATAAAGGAGTCCAAACACCATCTTAATTTGATTAGAAAAATACTTATTCATAAAGTAGTTTTTGTACTCTTCTTCGAAGCACATCCTAGCATCGACTGCAGAAGGAAATAATTTTATTAATTTTTAATTTTTTGTAATAGGAACTATTCTTTTACAATTATTCTAGAATATATCATATTACGCGAATAATATGTAAGCAAACTCATTTTTAAGATCTTTAAGATAATGAATGGATTTCCGCAAAGTAACGCCTGATTCTATTAATTATATTATTATTTTAAGTTATTTGAAGTCGGTTTTACCTTTCTTAAGTTTACTGTTTGAACTTTTTGAGCCTTAAAAGAGGAATAATTAAAATCGGTTTACAATTAATATTTGACGAATATTTAGCGTAACAAACATTACTACAATAGATTCTAATTGAGAATCTCTTCTTTTTTTCTTGTCGGTTAAGTGACGTGGGTATAGAAGAAATGCGTAAAAAAAAGAATCATTTGTATGATAAATCTTATCGGTTAAGTATTACATATGTTCAGATATGAGCTAGTTCTATATATCCTATACTTTTAAACGAGCAATTCTTGTATATATATATATATATATATATATATATATATATATATATATATATATATATATATATATAATATATATATATATATATTTGGGATCTCGGAAACTCCGCTCCAACGATTTTCATAAAATTTAGTGTCCAGGGAGTTTCGGGGATAATAAATCGATCTAGCTAGGATTTATTTTTAGAAAATGTCTTTTTGTCCGTGTTTTTAGGCAATGAAAAACTGCTACAATATCGTTAGAATAAGAAGGTAAATTTTGACGGATTGTTAGTGATTATAAATAGCTTAATTGGTATAATGGTCGGTCACAGAATCTTAAAACCCCGGTTCGACCCCAGACTGACCGACCGACTTTTTTTAATTTTTTTTTCATGTTCCTTTCTTTTTTTGAGAAAATCTATTTTTTCGAGCCCTTTTTTTTAGTATTTTTTTAAAAACATGAAAATTTAAATTAAAATAATTGCACTCTTGATTTTTTATTCAAATAACCAGTTCCGTTTTTTCTGTTATGTCGCTAAGATCAAAAAATATTATTTATATTTCATCAGTATGTAATTTGTATCTAAATATAATTTCCAAAACACACGAATTAAAAAAAAATCGAGCGAAAAATACCGAGCAAAGCTCGGTCAACCGGGTACTTTTTTAATATAATTAAGAGTGACAAATGAATACAGTCCACCTGATGGTACGCAGATGCCGCAGCCCATAGACATCTACATTCGTCTTCTGTTAAGAACCAAAATGCAGCAACTTTATTCTGAGGTGTGACATGAGCTCTCTCATCATCGCCATACTCGCAAAATATCAGCTATTCGTGCTGAAACTATAATACAATGCAGTCTGGCTCTTCCCCGTTTAACGTTAATTCAGTCATCTGTCAGTAATTATACTTTGGCAACATTGTAAAACTTCTTTGACGATAATCTTTACTGTATGCAGTGTAGAGGTAAGGAGTACAGACTATTAAAAAGTGTCAGTAGGAAAGCGCTAAATAGGTGGCGCCACTGTAGCTAGCTAGTCTAAATTTTAAAATACTTTTTATAATTTTTTTATTGCATAATAGACTTTCACCATAATTCTTTTTGCAATAATTATTTTACTGCTTCCAAAATTTTTATTTTCAAAATCACTCTCAACGTATTTTACGGTGATTTATCATACCCTGTAGACTCGAGCGCTGTTTTGGAGAGTTTTTGAACTTTTATTTACTGCTTACAGAAGGACACATTTTCAACTATTCTCGTTTCGGTAGGCATGCTTTACTCTTTTCAAGTGTTTGACCACAGACTATTTTGTGTCTGACATTGTTAGGATTAATGTTAACTGGCGACAGAATCGAGACAGAGTTGACATCGTAGCAATAGTATGAACCAAGGTATGAACGTACACACTGAAAGTTTTAATTTATTTAATTTATTGTATATATTTGTTATATATCTTAATAATATTAAAATTACGTGTCACGTTGTTTGTCCGCGATGGACTCCTAAACTACTTAACCGATTTGAATCAAATTTGCACACCGTGTTCAGTTTGGTCCAACTTGAGAGATAGGATAGTTTTTTGCCCATGAGTGACCCACAATTTTTTTTGCAAGCTTGAGGTTTTTAATAGGACATAACAAAGGGTCGTCGAAAAGAGCAGAACAACGTCTACCTGACCAGCTAGTATTATATATAAACTTTAGCTTATTACACACTTGCTTCATACAAATTTCAACTATACCAAATCTCACATACATCGCGGGTACAAAACTTTCTCTTCACATATTAATATAAAAGATACGTGAACGTTACCTTATTTAACATTATTTTTAATAGGACTTGGTAACGTTAAAAAAACATAACCCTTGCTTGTCAGTCGGGTAAAAAGCCCTGCTCGCGATAATTATGCTCATTAAGAGAAGTCGAGACCACTTAGTAACGAGGCGTCCGTTCGGGTTTTGTGACTGAATGCCGGTGCCGAGCTCAAAAGTTCGTGTTGGCTTGATAATAAGTGTCTAATTGCACAGGTTGTTGCAATGTGTTGTTTTTACAAGGACGCACGTACCTTGCTTTGTATACAAGTTGCTTACTGTCTGAAATGATACCAGACAGTTAGCTGTGGTAGCTCAGTGGCTAAGCGCTCGCTGTAAATTTCACAGTATGCGAGCAACCCGGGTTCGATCCCGCCGGCACCAATGAAATTGTAATTGTAATTTTTAATTGTATATTTACCATGTACTCGGCTGAGGTGGAAAACATTGCGGGGAAATCTGCATGTCTAAGAAACAAAAATATTTCCAGGACATGTGAAGTCTGCTAAGGTACACTGCGGCAGCGCGGCTGACATTTCCTTATTCTAAAACCATCTCAGAAAGGTCTGAGCCTAACGGTGAGATGTTTTTCTGCTGTAACTTTACCTATTTCACAAAATTATAATTTATGTAGCTTAGAAGAGCCGTGGTAGCTCAGATGGTTAGCTCTCGCTGTAAAATCACAGTACGCGAGCAAACCGGGTTCGATCCCCGCCGGCACTAATGAAATTGTTAATTGCAATTTTAAGTGCTGATTTACCACGTGCTCGGCGGTGAAGGAAAACACCTTAAGGAAACCTGCATGTCTGAGAAATAAGAAAAAAAAATATTTCGAAGACATGTACAGTTCGCCAACACGCATTTGGGCAGCGCGGCGGCCTCTTCCTTGTCCTAAAACCTTCTCATAAATGAGAAGAGGCCTTTGCCCAGTGGTGGGATGTATATAAGCTGTAGCTTTAACTTTTTTTCAAATAATTTATATATAATGCGTAATGTCTGCAGATCGTGTGCGGTGTGAGAATATACAATACCCCATAGGTGTCGTAAGAGGACATAGAGAGGAAACTAACCAGTATGGGCGACAGTGTCTTTCTAATAATAATTAGATAATAAAAAACTGAGGTTGACTACGCGGTTGTTAATGTAATGTATGCTGTTTGGAATAAATTTACTATATAATAAAACGGGTACTTATAAGAAAATACAGTTTGTTAATACTTAATAACTTGTTTAACCTGCTCATTTATTAACACAGAGTAGATTTTTATCTAAAAACTATATATAAAACTGATAACGAAAATGTGAATTATTTAAATTTATTATATTTCAATGAATTATTTATAGTTTTGTACTCATTACATACATAATATACGAATATATGTAATAAAAGTAGCTTTTTAATATCATAATTTTTTTTAAATAATTTAAGTTAAAGGCAATATGTTTTTGTGTTTGGTAATGGGCTCTTACTGTTCTAATTTTGCTAGTTTCACGAAATATGAAATTATCCTTTACTGGCGATCCGCCTCGGCTTTGCACGGGTAATTTCTGGATCTCGACAATAACGCTACCTACCGGGTCCAATTGAGTTTTAAGCCATCCAGGAACCCACTCAAATACACACTAAAAAAATCATCAAAATCGCTCGAGCCGTTTTCGAGTTTTAGCGAGACTAACGGAGAGTAATTGATTTTTATATATTAGAAGAAGAAAATACAGAACAAGATAATACTTTTGGGAGAATTTCACGGCAGCTTGAGCCAACAGACAGTCGATAACGATAGTATCTCAAGGCGCCAAAGGAGGCACAATAACTTGAGGCTCACATAATCATCGGAACACTTGTTCCACTAATAGTTCACACCATAGAATACTATAATACATAATAGAATGGCTGTCAATCTTATTATGTACGACGATAGGCGTCGCCTGAAGCACACATACAATCAATTACGTCGTATTATCACTATTACAAACCCGATTCGCAGTTGACATACAGATTTTAATACATATTTATTTCTAAATAGCGTGCAATTTGGCATTTTCTAAATCATTTGCATGGGTAATTTGGAAACGATTGTAACGTCAAAACACATATCGTGTTGACATTAAACATGTGAATTGACGTGTTAATGACGTTTTAGTGTCTACATGGTCTCCGCTCACTCCCCCGTTCTATTATGTATGTATTATGTTATTCTATGGTACACACTTACATTTAATAAACAAAATTGTACCACTTTGGCGTATCAAACCCACTCGAAACCGTTATTCACACTTTAAAACAGGAGCAGCAAGCTACCGGCAATCGAGTTGCAAAAACTACGCTCTCATAGAACTGCTAGCTTATAGCAGCTTTATGCTGCTGTG